GGGTAAGTCTTTATGGATGAGGGAGAGCCATGTGAGAACGATCATATTTTCAAGAGAAGGAGATAATTCTTCATACTCGGTGATCGGTTCACCATGATGTGAAATTCCACCATCACGACGCAACAAATTATCATCAATAAACGCGATAAGGCGTTGATACAAATCCTCAGGGCGTTCATCTGGTTCTAAAGATATACTAGCCAAGTCGATAAAGTTGGCACCGGTGGACTGAAAACCATAGTGAAGACGGATCATTTGCCAAATGTGGTCGACGGTCTTTGGGAATGTCATTCCCATCGTCTACAAAGTCACGCATGGGAGCCGCTCTAGTGCGTGGCCTCCATGTACTACCAGCAGTCAGAAATCTAGCAAAATTCGGATCTAATGACAAGGTGTATTGGAGGTTCTGTCTCCAATTCCCAAAGGAATTGATAGTTTCTGATTTGGTAAGGATCCACTGTTTCGGAGCTCGTTGTAAAGCCATAATAAACTAAGTAGCGTTACCAGCTGTACGTTTACAACAACCGTCTGCACGCTTGGGGCAAAAGACCTGACCAGAATTCGCCTATTATACTAGACTACTGAAATTAATAACGAGCTTAGCTAGCCTGAACTTTGGCCTAACTTTTCGGATACTTTTAGGTACCGTGAGGAGTGAATTCGTATCCAGCTGATGCCACCACGCCAAGGTTAGGAGAAGGGTAGAACGAGTCAGATCACAGACGGACACTACTGCTAGAGTAATATAGCAAAACAAATGAGTTTATTAACTAATACCAACAAAGTAACCAACAGCAACGAACAGCAAAATGGAAGAGAGCGATACAGTCACACTCGCCGATAGTTGTGCTACTGGCGTAGGAGTAAAATCGGTACCCGGTGGGGTTGCTTGCTCCTAGCCTTATTACCTACAGCAACATTTAAAGCATGTGTACCAAATGACCAGGGCTTATAACCTCAAAGAAAAGGCGCATTATAAATGCCTATACCAGTGGCAGTACCATTATAATTTGTTTTACTTGCACTGATTTGTTCATAATTTTTGTTAGTTATTGCATTATTAGATATTTGACATTAGATACCTGTATATTTGAGACATGCCATCTCAAAGCCAGCGAACTGTTGCTATGTTAATCTATATTAATCTATCTGAAATTACATCAAATTTATAGTCTATTGTCTTTTTTTTCTGTTGTTCCTAATTCTCCTCTAGCTAGTATTTGTATATTTGGTCTGTATTTTCCACATTTGGTTTATCATTTTTCACTTCCTGTTTCTCTGTTATTTTCCTTCTCTTGCTCTTCTTGTACTATCTTCATGTTCGCTTTTCATCTTAGCCTGTTTCCTTTGGTCTCTTCAATTAATTAATTTATTCAGCCGCTATTGAATTTGCTTTATTATTTTCATCTTTTGGTCTTGTATTATTTTCTTATGTATCATCCTGGTCTCATTTCATTCCTCTTTAAATTTAAACCATGTATTATGCATAGCGTTATCTGTATTTGTTTGTTTGCAGAGGACAGACAAAACTCTACTGCAAGATACATGCATCAAAGAATCAATGGCACTGTAAGTATCAAGTGAAATATACTAAAATTACCTTATGAAATTATCTTTTTATCTGCCGTTTCTCATTCTTTATAAAATTCTAATTTGGCAGATGCATCAACAGAGCATGGCCAATGTTGCAAGACAAGAAAAGTACGCTGAAATTTAGTTGGAACATCTTGAAGACTTCGAAAGAGTAATCCCGATGAAAGAACACAAGAAAAAACAATTACTGTATATTTAATAACAAGTCACTGGATCAAGACAACTTACATCACTCTGCATACTGATCAATACAATAAGATGAGGAAGAGGAACCAGAACTATAATTCATTTTTCTAATATAGGCCGTGTAAAGCATTTTAACTTTTAGTTAAGTTAATTTATTATACCTAATAGTTGCAAGACAATTAAGAGAAGGTATAATGGAGTTTAGTTCAATATCTTGCTGAATATTGAGACAGCTTAACCACGGTGAAAGAAAACATAAGCGATTGTATTTTTATCAGAAAATCTATCAAAGGAATTTAACAAATTATTTTAAATGACAAGTTATTGCAGTATAAAGACAGCTTACATCATTGTAAAATATGTTGATAACTTACAGAAAACAGCGTATCGCGATCACGTGATATAGCCTATAAAGCTCGGTTTCCATACAATCGCTACACAGTCGATACACCATTTTCACTGCAATCCTTGCACTACGTAGCTGTCCCCCGACGCAAATCGGGAACGCTCCCTGATTGAACTCAGGGGCGTACAATGTAAATGGGGAACTACAAAGGATCAGTGGCGTAATGAAGGGGCCGAAAACCCCGATGCAGGTGCTGGGGCCAGAGGCCACGAAGGGCGACCCCACGCCGTTCCGGTGTTTGTAACGTTTTGTGATGTATTTTAATGTCTTTTTTTTGGCACAACTTATTTCTTAATTTTGTATCGTGATTTGGCAAAATAAGTGTAATATATTGTAATTAAGATAATACTTTGTTCGTCTGTAACTTAATTTCTTGTTACACATTGTTTCATTTTTATTATATTATATAAAACAAAATTATTAAATAAAGTTTAAAACATTCAATCAAAAGAAGATTTTTCTAATTATTACACTTGCATGTCTTATTGGTTGTTGAAAAGATTACACAGAATTATGAAAGTAATTAAAAAAATAATAATGTACTCGGCGTTATTTTGATGTATTTAAGGTCATGATAAAATTTAAAGCCATTACTTCACATTAGGCTGTTTCGACTATACATTCCCCCAGTACGCTATGGTCTGTACTTTCAGAAGAATGCTGTTTAAGGATTTTTTTTTTGGACAGACAGAGTTTGATGCAAAAGTCAATAAAATTTTATCATTCCAACGATCAACCCCCTTTTCTATATTTTTCCAAGTTTTTAAATATTAAAAATGTATATATCATTAATTACTCTTCATTTCATTAACCAAGTTTTTCATTTATGTTAAATTAAAAATAATAGAGCGTGATAACGTTTTTCTCCTATGTAGATACCAGAGTCTGTTTTAATGTCGCAACCTACTGGCAAAAATAGTGTTATGCTGTCCGCCAATAGTGCGAATCATGAATCTTTGCTCATAGTCATAAGTATGCTTAGTAAAGACCTTTTGTAGTTAAGCCCCAAACATGGTGGGGCTGAGATGGGTGTGGACTCACAGCTTTAAGTATGTAAAGTAAAGTTAATACATAAAGACAAGTTTTATTTTCAATGGTACATTACACAGATTATTTAGATGTCTGATTGCCGAAAATCGCTGATTAAGGATCATGAGAAATTTGTTGGCGCTTCATTTTGACTATATAATGGTGATATGATGATGATGAATTTATCTATAATAAATTATAAATTGTCATTTCCCGTCAGTTTTATTTTCTATGGTACATCACACAGATTATTTAGATCTCTATGAATGCTGAAAATTATAGATAAAAGACAATTTTTTTTTTTTTTTATTTTCAATGGTACGTCATACATAAGCCTGTTATTGATTACATCTCTCTGGTTGCCGAAAATCGCAGATAAAAGATCATGAAAGGGTAGTTGGCGATTCATTATATAAGGGTGATGATGTGATGATGATGTTTACTATATAGGAGTGTCATTTCCGATTATATAGAGAGTACGGTACTATTTTCTAAATTTTTCGCACTTCAGCCCCAAACATGGTGGGACTAAAATGGGTTTGGACTCACGGCCTTAAGTAGGTAAGAAAGTAAACACATAAAATTTTCAATGGTACGTCACACATGGTCTATTATTAATTACATCTCTTTGGTTGCTGAATATCGCTTATAAAAGATCATGAAAAGTACCGTAGTTGGCGCTTCATTTTGACTATGGGTGATGTAATGATGATGAATTTTACTATAAGAGTGTCGTATCCGATTATATATAGAGGACTATTTCCTCAAACTTTCGCACCTCAGCCCCAATCATGGTGGGTCTGAGGTGGTGGGTATGGTCACTGTGACACGAAATGGTCACACGTTAAATTGAAGTCTGAGAGTGCCATTTCCGGCCATATAGGTATAGAGGTGTCATAATCGTGAATCTTTCTTAACTCAGCCGCAATCGTTGTTGGGGCTGAGGTAGTCTACACCCTCCATTTCCAAGTCCCACTCTGGGTCCCCTTCTATTTCTCCGCTGGGGTAGATATAATTGATGATGATGATGACCGAGGATGACAATCGACTACCAATGGAATTAGTATTTTAGGCTGTTATGTAACTTTTAATTCCTCAAAACATGCACGATAAACGTAACGAGTGATGTAATAATGACGTTCAGTGAAGAAAGGATGCCAAAACTGCCTGTACATATAATATGACAATGGAGCGAATCACTTCCCATGTAGTTTCCGTTTCACTCAGCCATCCGATATATTTGAACACTGTTTATTATATATCTGTTTGTATATATTGTTAAATAGTATAGAGAGCTGTGTACATTTCTTCAGGTATATACATATATCTGTTTATATGGAGTTGAAAGCCTCGGATGTTGTGGTTTTGTCTGTCCCCAATCGCTATCACCATCTAATGAATTTTTAGGCATATTATATTGTACAAAGCCAACATAAGAAACCCTCTGACCTTCAACGGATTATGACAACACTTCATATTTGTTATCAATGTTATTTATGATAATGATGGCTTATTTGAAATAACAAACATAATTGGCAACAAAATTTAATGGGAAAATGGCAGCTTAAATACCACCTGCGTCTAACAAAGTGATACAATAAATTCATCTAAAGCTTTTATTGTTTAGGCCTATGTCTCATTTTGTTAAATAATATTGAGCTTCTGGCTTAAACGTAGTAGCTTTTAATTTACAACACACATCACGGTGCCCGCATAAACAATTTCGAATGCCTGCCGTTGTTATTTTTATCAATGAAATAACCCTTGCCCTGCTCTACACGGCGTTCAATATTTGGTCATTAATTCAAAATTGTAGAATCATTTCGCATCGATAAACATGCATACATTTGCGTGCAGTCAAGCTGTTTGCTGTGTGCGCACAGTGTTGTGTTGAGTGTCGCCCGGAAGACAGCGTTTATAACGGGAGTGAATTGAAGAGAGGTAGGTTTCCTCAAATAATTAATATTTATTGCATTATCTCTGTATATTTATGTTAAGACATACCTTTTCTACGATCTGTTGCGTAATAGCAATGGCGCATAGAATGTATATAACCATAGGCTTTGTATTGGGCTATATTAGAGTTGTTATAACGACAATGCATCATATTCCTCAGCTTATATGAATACATCACTAGGCCTATGCATATTTTGATACCGTTATACATATTTCATCCATTGTAAAATAGCACCATTCGTACTACAGGGACAAAAAAAAATTCGCAGAAAATACTATACAATATCATAATCAGTTATAACAGTATAAAATAAACATAATGGATGTATTGGAGACATGCAGACCAGACCCAGGGCTCTTCAAATACCACCAGATACACTCTATTACACAATAGGTACGGCTAGAAACAAATAGGTGCATATAACATAAATCAAGGTAGCCGTTAACACTGTTAAATCATATATAAATCATCAAAGAAAGGTAAATACAGTGTTCGAATAAAGGACTTAATAATTACATCGTGTAGCATAGCTCTCAACGAATGTAGTCCTGTAAATAAATGAATAAAGAAATTGTGTAATAAAATGCCTCTGGCGGGACTCGAACCTGCGACATCTCGCTGTCAAGGTGAGCGTCATAACCATTATATTATAGATATATATATTATATATATATATATATTATATATATATGTTATATATATTATATGTACTGTTATAAATGAACATTAATAACAGTACATATATTATATGTACTGTTATTAATGTTCATTTAAGAAAAATTAGTTCCACATTGTGATTCAAACTTGTTAAATCCACTTTCTTAATGTCTGTTGAATATTACATTTGTACAGTATTCGTTTTATTTATTTTTCGATATGGACAATGGATGTCTGAAATAAAATCTGAATTGAATTACCGTTCGGTTGCACCATAGTTAACGGCTTTTAGATTTTTTCCAATAAGATGCGTTTTCGCCACAACGCATTGCATAATACGTATTTTACAATATTAGTTGATAAACATCCTTTGGATATAGATGTCCGATCCTCAGCCGGGAGTTGTAACCAAAACACTAGATTCCATTCCTGTACTAGATTATAGGTCTAGTTTACATGTGAAACGAGCATGTGCCATAACTTTTTAAAACATATTGTGGGATTTAATCAAGCTTGTGACTCAAGAACAATACTCAATGAAACTTGATGTTCGTAGTGATCCATCACTGTGTTTACAATGATTCGCGTAAGCCGAATGAACCATAGATTAATCTGACATAATCGGTTCAGTGACTCAGCTCCGGGGACAACCGATTCAATCACTGCAATTTCGCGGCCGAATAGTGTGACATTTACACCTTTACAAGCGTCGCCTGTTTAAAATCAGATACAGTACCCAGGCCTATTAATTTACAATGATGAGCAAGAGGAATTAATTCGCACTATAGTCGTGGAATAACACCAGATGCGCGAGTTATGCCACCATTATTATGCACACACTCGGCCTTGAATAATATCATTATTTTATTAATATTAATGATGAATATCACAGATTATCATATTGCAATGACTGCATTAAAAAAAATCAATTCTATTTTATTTATCTTGCTGATTTCATCCCAATCAACAGATAAAACCATAATATCGGTTTCGGGGAGAATATGTTACCAACATTATTCATTATGCACTCCCCATAATTATCAAATCATACCCATTATCATCTTCCTTACCATCATCATCGTCATCGTCGTCGTCATCATCATCATCATCCTCCTCATCGTCATCATCATCATCATCATCATCATTGTTATACTCATCATTTTAACCATTGTCAACATCTAAATCATTATCTTTTTCGTTATCATCATCATCATTTTTATCAATATAATACGCATTGTTATAATCATCATTTTAACATTGTCTTCCTACATTGAAGTATTATTGGTAACGTTAAATTTTATTTGCTCTTCCATTTGCCAGTACAGAATATCTAAAATAAATTTTATTGGTATTATTTAGGATTGTACTTACTATTAACATACTGAATTAAAAACTTTTCTATCTTCAGGAACTGGGCAATGCACCAGTCGTTGACATAATGAATACAGAAAAAGATGATGTTTTACAGGAGATGGTACCAATAATGAAGAATGACTTCTTTCTTCTCCACATACCATCGAAATCTAGCAAGGTCCTCTCTTCGCTAAATGAAATGAGATCGTCGGCTGAATGCATTGACCTAGTCATCCGAGTCGACGCAGAACAAATCCCGTGCCACAGAGCCATTCTTGCAGCAAGCAGCCACTATTTTAAGTCAATGTTCACAAATAACTTAATAGAGAGCGAACAGAACACCATCACCTTGCTTGACATATCGCCTGACTCCGTGAAAGCTCTCGTCGAGTTCTCCTACACTTCAAAGATATACATCCACAAAGACACAGTCGAGGACCTGTTTGAGACGGCTATGTATCTGCAGTACGAGACAGTCAGCAGCGCATGTGTTGAGTTCATGATCGGTCGTCTGCAGACGTCCAACTGCATTCATTACTACAAATTTGCCCAGACATTCAATTGCATCGAACTTCTTGAGGCAGCAAAAACATTTATTTTGACTAATTTTAGTTACGTATCAACTACGTCGGAATTCTTTGACATGTCTTGCATAGAACTGGTTGATATTCTGTCGAACGATCGGTTAAAAGTCGACAGCGAGTCTGATCTTGTGGATGCTATCTTACGATGGATTGAATTTGATAATCTATCAAGAAATCGCTATTTGACGAAACTGCTGGACGAGGTTCGCCTGGCGCTTTTGGATGACTCGTATCTTAGAATACTCGAAAAATGGTCCGAAGACAGTGCAAGTTGTTTAAGTGTGTCTAGTTTGATAGACGAGGCAATGTGCTGCAAAACACTGATCCATAAAGGTTACAGAGTCATGGGAAGGCACACGACGCCAAGATCGCATTACACACGTAAAGATTTCTTGGTCTTGGTCGGAGGGCATAGGAACGAATTTGATGATGGATATACGTACAGTGAAAGCGTCCTATACACCGAAATTGACAACGGAAAACTGGGATCATGGAAGTCATTGAATAACCTGCCAGATCACGAGAAACGGAAATACAGCGTAACTGCTAAAGGTTTGTTCTGGTTCCTTGTCTAAATGTTATTGTTTATGTCGACGCCATCTATAATTAATCCAACTTTATATGTCCCTGGGGTTCTTAATAGGCAGCCCGCGGGCCACATTTGGCCCGCAAGGGAATTTAGTTTGGCCCATGAGGAAAACAAAATCATAAAATAAAAATTCAAAACATTAAAAATTCGATGAATACATTTTCAATAAACTGAAGACAAAAACGTAACCCCTGGGTAATGTGCACAGGGATGATTTGAAAATGAGCAAGATGATAGGCCATAATAACAGAACAGAGACAAAAATCAATCAGTGGGTGCTTACTTGGTCCCTTTTTTCACTGTGTGTGCTTGAAACAACCAACAAACGCGTTATGATGTAGGACCCCACTCACATTTAAAATTAAGTACTGTATACACTTTATAGACATGTTAAAATTGTAACGAGTGCAGAGGACTGATTCCTGATATATATGAAACCGATGGTCGAAGCGCACTATTAAATCATAGAGGTAAACACAACTAAATTTAGGCTATCTTTGCAATCCGTCTATTGTGTTTCATCGTAAATAACATTCGTGTTTTACATAATAAAAAGTTAGTGAACCAAAGAACAGTGCTTATAAAAATACATCTCGATTGTCCTGCAAATAATGCATGTCATACATGACTCTCTGTGCCGCCAAGTTTTGTCTCTGTGCTTTGTTTTGATCACTGCGTTTTCCCAATAGGCCTCTATTTAAGTCATACTGGTACTGTATTGATAACACGAAGTTCCGTCTCTGTGTTTTTTTTTTCTGTTCAATGATTCGTTAATAACATTATTTACAGGGGTAATAAAAAATTGTAGTAGTCCTACCAAAAGACAGTGCTCATAAAAACAGATTTCGCTTGTGGTACATCATGTGTACTGTGTAGGCCAACATGCGGAAACGTTTTGTACTTTTGGAAAAATACATCGAGATTCGAAACGTACCATAGGTTTTTTTGTACAGTATTGTAATCAATTACATTGACTAACGACTGTTAGTCAACTAATGACACGTCCACACAGAAATTTCCATTTCCAACAGAACCTTATTGAGGAATATTTATTTTAGATGGTGGCATCTGTATGTTAGAAAATGGCATATGCTAGCTAGTCATCTTGTTTTTTATAATACCGTACAATACAAATGAGAATGTGTTAAGTCCAGCAAAATATCGGGCCTCCCCAATCTATGGCAAGTGTCAATTTTTAGTCTGTTTCAATACAATAATAAAATATGTTATAATTACTGAATAACTTATAATCTTTGTTTTTGTTTTAATGAAAAGGTTGGAGCATCATTGTTACCGGTGGTTACGATGCCGGCATTGACCAATCAATAGCAGACACGTGGCAGTTTAACTTTCCAACCAATGAATGGAACAGACTAGCAGACATGAATGTTGCACGTCACTCACATGGTTCTACAACTCTTAACGACAGCATATACGTTGTTGGAGGTAAAAGTACTAACCAGGAGAACAGGCTGAATGACGTTGAAGTCTTCAAGCCGTTTCAAAGTGAATGGCATACCTGCCCAGCTCTACCAACCGCCGTCAGTGTTGCAGCTGTTGTGAGCTGTCAGCAGAAAATCTACGTTGTCGGTGGTGCCAACGATTATGATAGCCCTGCTAGTCTAATCCAATGTCTAGACCCTGAGACGAACACATGGACGGTATTAAATGATTTCTTAGTGTGTCGCAAAATTCCACAAGCCTTGACCTTAAGGAATGAAATCATTGTCGTCGGGGCAAGGAAACCGAGGGAAGTTATTTCATACAACCCAGAGACAAAGGAATGTAGAAAACTAGCGAATTGTAACCAGCAGAGGACATTCAGTGCTGCCGTGTCGTCCAAGGGAAAAATGTGGCTGCTTGGCGGGAAGCTGAGCGGTGAAGCCCACAGCAGTATTGACTGTTATGACGAAAGGACTAATAGTTGGTCGACGCTAAGGCAAAATCTTCCAAATGCGTTGTACATGATAGGGGGCGTGGTGTTACCTGCAGACTCATAATCTTTCAAGACAGAATTCTGAACGATACACCGTAGTGTATTAAAATGTGATGCAAATAGGAAAAGACGAGGTAATTCTTAGAGTGATGGGATGTATTTCTTTGTTTAAATTACATGAACTAGCAGCTTTAGGGGACTGGGTAATTTATGGTTCTATAATTTTATTCCTTGGGAAGGTTTCTGTTAATACAATATTGGGTTAAGTTGTTGGTATATAGTGCAATTAAATGGTATAAAATTATTTATTGGGGTTAAATATATATTATAGTGTGCAATCTTTAAAGTGGTTCAGGTACTTACGGTACACTATATATATAAAAATAGAAAACTAGGGATGTGCAATTCTGAACAAAAAAATACAGTACTTTAGAGCTTTTTTTTTTTTTTTTTTTATTGAAATCTGTTACTATTGACAAATGCTGGTTTTAAGCAATAGGGTTTTCATGAATAAATATTCTTTAAAGGCATATTCTGTCATTGTTTTATATATACAATTAACATTTTTTTTTCAGTCAAGTATTAAAATGCATTACCAAAATAATTATTTGTTATTTCAAATCTTCCACTTTCACCTTGCAAAATGCCTATTGCACAGCTTTATCTAATATCTGGTGAGTTGCATCTTCTTCACATCTTAGTGCACTGGTATTGAACTTCTGCCGCACTCTCGCCTTTTGGGATGTCTGGAACATCAAGGCAACTATGATGCTGCTTTATCCAATTGGTCATTGTCAAGTTTTCGTCTCTTTTCTTTGTTGCCATCTAAAAAACATATAGTTGGATTTGGTTTGCAATATTACTTACTTTGGTCTTATATATTTTTATTTCATTCAGTGTGGCAACAGCCACAATTAACAATGAATCTTAACAGAAAACTAAAGATTAATGAAGTTATCATCGAAATTTAGGACGCTGGGAGCAGCAACAACAATCAACAGTGTTCCTCCCATAAAAAAACACTAAGAAACTCAACAGAGGTGGCGCCAAGGTTTGTCCGACAAGGGCCACTGTGCCAGACGAGAGCGTAACTGGGTGTTGTAGTGCGCCACTCAAAATCTCTCTGAAATGGTCTAGGGGCCAAATGCCCCGGTAACTATGACAATTTAGGGGTTTCGAAGGTCACATTTTTACTTAGCTTTAAATCACCTTCTTTTTAAAAAAAAATTCAATTACCTTGAGCACTGGATTCTCCACTTCTGTTAATCTTCAAGCTGTGTTCTGGCTTGTAGTTACACGACAATGCTGTCAGGTTTAAACAAGTCTCAGAAAATCGTTTCTTATGATGAGGTTTCACAAACTTGTAAAAATCTAAAGAAGGATAAAGCACGTTTAAAATTATAGCACATTATTTATATAAATAAGTATTTAAAACATTAGACTGACTAACTTATAATGTCATCCACAATGTTTATAATTCCAACTTGTGGGTGCCATACAATTAGCCTTAAAGCCCAAGAATTTCTTTCCCATTTAACAGTATTTAAACGCTTTTTGCACTTTTATTTTGGATTTTAAAATGGAGTAGGTGTTACCAAATATGTGGCTAAACGACAGGATTTTCGCATGCATATATGGTCAGTCTAATTGTGCTAAGTTCAGCAGTGCGTAGTAGCAGCAAGCACGCAGATTCCCCCAAGTTGCACCACTCACATTGGACTTTTCTGTTTGGGAAAACATGTTGGTTATTCTTCCTAGTCAACGTTTGCTTGGTTAAACATGGCTTCTTAGGTAATTTGACCAAGAAGAATGATGCTTGTTCACTCTCGATCTTGACCAGGAGTCATCTTACCTCGAAAGAGCGGAAACTGACTCTCGTCATTGGTAAATAGAGTTGCTAACGTTGAAATTAAGTCACAAAAATCCTCCTCCTATGACAAGATAAAATATAAAATCGAAATATTGAAAGATCGACAAAGGGCAATTGTACTCCAGAATTTTACATTATTATTAAACAAATATAAAAAATACAAATAATAAAGTAAAGTAATCCTTTTTTACATCTACCTCATAATTGTCATCTAACGGTTATTTGCCAATAAGAGAATGGACAATTCAACTGAAAGTTCTATTAAGGTGAAGATGTTTTTACAATTTTTTATTATTTTGACACTATGTTCCTTACCTTCTTATACTGCTGGAGTTGTTTTGCAAATTGCTTATAATTTTCCTTGTTAAGAGCTTGGTGCACCTGTAACAAAGAATAAACCTTCATAAAAAAAAGAAATAAATGTATAAAAAATATAGACATAGAGGGCAGTAATCACACATATTCCATTTCACACTGGATTATAAAACAGAGCCACTTAACTGCAGTGTACAGTAACTAAAAGTAGAAACTAGATTAACATACCATTTAACCAAGAGCCAAAGACAAGTCATGGATCAGTACGCACACAATAGTTACATTTTATCTATTTAGTAGCAAAGTAATGGTCTCCCACTGGACCCAGTATGCGAGCTGGATGGCCAAGCAGTTAAGGCAGTTTGCTGAAACGTACAGCCAAAGTATCAGCGCTGATTCGAACAGCACGTTCATCTATGGTTCTGGTGGTGGACCAAGTCTTCTCGGATAAGTACTATTTAAACCGTAGGCCCAGTTTACACAATTTGGCTATGTGACTAAAGAACCCATTACATTTTTCGAGATAAATAGGGAGTTGCCCCAGTGTACTTTTCCATTCAGCTCATGTTGTGGACAGACAAGAGTAGCTAGTACCAGTACACCGGGTAGCTCAGACATGGAAAGACCCTTTAGGGGAGAAGCAAGTTACTGTAAGAGCTGTCCACACCTCGAGGCTTTGAGAATATTTTAGTATAAAGAGCTTTATAAATCTAACTACCATTGCATTATGAAGATTAAGAAGTTGAGATCTTGAGTACTTTCAACTAAAATTAACTGAAAAAGATTTTTTTCCCCCGATTTTTAAATCAGAGACATGAAATCACAGGGTGTTTTGAACTTACTCGATTGATATAGCTCTGTGCTGTGGAGACCGATGCACTCACTTGGTCATGATTTTTATTAACAGATACATTTTTTGTTGGTTTCTAAAGTAATAAAATATATACACAAAGAGAAATTGATATTATTATCAGATTAGGAAAGAAGCAAAAAAAAAAAAAAATTTTTTTAAATACATTAAAATTGAAAAGATAATATATATTATAAGTATGTAAAACAATTTAAAACCTGTTGTTGAAAGTTAATATATGAAATTTAAAAATAAGTAATCAAAATACTGAATCTATATTTTCAATGTTTTTAATGAACGAGATGTATACTACATTTTACAATTTCAATTCTAATTGTATATGTCATTTTTTAAATATATATTAAATGAACTATTAAATTAATTATTTTTAATAAGGTCATCTCTATTCCTAATCTTCATAATTATTTTTAGAGTTTATATTCACACTATACATACATTTACTATTACAATTTTCTTTCTCTTTTTATTTTCATTACCACTCCTCTCTGAAGCATCAGTTTTTGAAGGGCACTGGAAGAAAAAGGCAAATATTTAACAGCTTTTGTAATAAAAGATTAAATTCAGAAAAACAAACTGAAAAAAGCAGAGGACAGAGACCTGTTGAGAAGTTAGCAGGAAAAGAAGAAAAATAAAATGGATGAGTAAGAATGAAGGCAATCCACAAAACAAAACACTTTTGTTCAGCAACAATTGTTCCAGCTCATTTATATCAAAAGATTATTAATAAATAAATAAATGAATCATAAAACCTACCCACAGGCTACAGGAGGGCACATCTTCACCAGTTTTAGTGTTCTATGAAGAAAACAATATTTAAAGCCATTAATAAAATAATTAAAAATCTTCAATACAAATAATAATGACATTATTAACTCTAACATTGTATTTATTTTGGCATCTTGCCTATGATGGCAAGATGCATGTGATAATACGCAAGGTGGCAATGGGCTTATGTGGTAAACTGGTGAGTGGCAACGGGCCTAGGTGGTAAATTGCCGGGTGGCCAAAAGCCTGGTAGCTAAAGGCTGGGTGGCCATAGGTTGGATGGCAAAAGACCAGGTGGTAATGGGCTAGGTTGCAATGGGCCACAACCAAAACTGAAACATGAAGTTGTAGTCCGCTTACCTCTGCCTGATTGAGTGCTTGCAGAAGCCCTTTTGCCTTGGAATTACAAGGTGCAGCATCTCCATACATGTTTTGTAAACAGGCATCAGACACTGGCAAGAAAAGTGAAACTACTAAAAACCTGCCCCTTAATATTTACAACACCCAATTTTTTATAAAATCTATGAACTAAATAATCTACAATGATATTTAGAAGCTAGCCTCTAGAGAAGCCTGGCTATTAATGGATCAATACCAAATTTAACATACAGTACTGTACCTGGAAATTCTCTATGAGCAGAGCACTAACCAAGTATACTTAGAAATAATATTTCAATTAGATTAACAAAAACAATAAATTTTAACTTTTAGATTTGCATTATCTTCTGATTTTATGCACTAGCATTCTAAACATACAGCCAAGCATTCAATGCTACATATCAAAAAGTCAATACTCAGAGTGGTACTATGCTTCTAAGCAATTATATTGTTCAAATTTATAACTCTACAACACAGTAAACATTTTTGAAGATTTTTGTAATCAACACAGCTATGTAAAATATTTATATTTATATATTTTACCTTCATCTTTCTTCAGGCTAGGTACAAGGGAATCCATGTTGCTGGCTTTGGCCAAACTTGTAGTGGATGGCTTTCGCAGTGGTTCCTGAACCATCCTGTTGCTTGGTTCATCAACTGGGGGAGGCAATGCTTTTAGTTCTGGTTTTGGAAGCTAGAACAAACAATTGTTTAATAAATATGTGACATGATGTGTAAAATCATCATAAAAAAAATTATAGTAATGTAGCTGCTTTAGTCAAGGAAAGGCAGGCAGCACTCAAGACAGTAATAAAGCAATTAGTAATTAGTAGGGATGTGAGTTATGGTGGGTGGAGGTGTGCACGGTCACCCAGCCTTGAAGTATTCCACCCAGTTTCAAGCTAATTTCATGGCCCTCCACCCACCCTTAATAACCAACTTTTCCATCATTAAATCCACTCTTATTTAAAGTTTACCAATGTTATCACTCACCCACTCTTAAACGTCTATCACCCACCCTTAGTTATTCTATAGCTACAACCCTGAATTAGTGTAATTTTTTTAGAGCACTAATGTAAATCAGTGACCTATAAATCCATTAGTGTATGAACATATTTCCCAAAGGAATCCCCTCATCTTTTACTAACCTTCCCTCTACCATTCCTTTTGTTACTTTTCAAGTGATCATGCTCATTAATCTATATTTCATACTCTTTGCTAATCAATTTGGTATCATTCAAATCAATTAGTCAAAAGTATAACATGTCCTTATGGGACCAAAAGGAAACTAACAAGACATTCAGATCACTTATTTTACCAGCTCAGGTATCAGTACACCCTCCTTTCAGTGTCACTCTTAACACTTGCGCTACCAGCCACGAGTACACTTGTCTCACAATGTGTTGCTGTGGGCGCTAGGGATGACTATACTTGTCGAAACCTGAGTAACATTCTAGTGTTTATTACTTCATTGTTATACATTGCAGAGCCACAGGCTTAATGGCTGATACTATAGTTCGGGAAAGATACACGTAGATGATAACGTACAAATAACGTACATATGTTTGTTGTAATATCTTGCCAGCAGTACAAAAGATTGAAGGGGGGGGGGGGAATCCTCTGACTATATAGCAACCCATGCAAAAGCGGATGAGAAAACTCGCACCTGGCAGAGGCAATAGAAAGTACCGTCCCATTGTCAGCGACGAGTTTACTCGCCCCCTAATATTTTCCCACCAATTTATTAGACACACCATTTTGATGGTATGTGACTTGATAACATTTCAAGAAAATACGTTGGTACAACACTTGTTTTCGCACATGGGACAAAACCTAAAAAAAGGTCTGGCAGTAAACATATTAAAAATGATCACTTTATTATTCTTATAACTTACAGTCTTTACTGCTACTTTGAAGAAGTTGTTAATATCCCTAAAGGCTTGCCCAAACTGCTCATACACCTTCACATAGGGACGCACCCAAGAGGGGAGCTGGGCCTTTGATTCTGTTTGTGTGAACCTATAATAAAGCATTACATCATTATCATGATTTACTATTGTTATGACATCATTATTATTATTATCATTGTCATAACCCTTATTATTATATTACTAATAATAACTTAAGATTGGCAATACTAATAAGAGAACTGTGAGTGATACCATTTTCACTGAAAAATCAATTTGTTCTTGAAGGTTACTGTCATGTCAATGAAACTATTCTTCAAAGTAAGAAAACAGTGTGTCATTCGCATCCAACAGCTAGTAGATCACCAATTACAGGATGGAAAACACTGTAGTAAGTCTCTTACTGAGGCTTAGGGAGTGGAGTTGTGTTTAGCCGTGAGAGAAAGTCTTGTTGTCACATGAATTGAATCCAGGACCCTGGCATTAGAAGGCAAGCATCTTAAACCACCAAGTTCAGCACCACTCCAAACACCCAACATTTGTGCAATTTTTTAAAATTTTATATAATGTCTGGTTTTATTTTGTATTGTATGATGTTACTCTTACAAACACACCGCAACAGCGTGTGCCGCTGTTTTAAAAGCGTTGTTTCAAATAAAGTTATTATTATTATTATCCAATTATTATTGTTATTATACTTAGATATCTTTAAACAAGAAAAAGATACAATCTCCCTCTAATTAAAGACCTCCAATTAAAGACCACTTTTCTGTGGTCCTATAGTTAACAGATGTCTTTATGTTATTATTCTAATTAGATACTGAAGCTGCTAAATACCGTGGAAACCAAGTCCAAAAAGTGGTCTTTAATTGAAGGGAGACCTGTATTAATACTGTAATATTACAATCATTTATCATATCATATTAACAAAAGAACATTATTCAACCTGACGTCACATAACACGATAGCACCATAATCTTGCTTGTGTCGAATGACACGGCCAATAGCTTGATTCACCGCCCTGGAAGCCTGTTGGCGATACCACTGCTGGCCACTCAACATCTGACGGTTGCGACTCCTCACCTCATCCAAGTACTGCATCTTCAGAATAACTTTCGGATCCATTCTTGGGGGGAACGGAAGGCCTGTTATCAACACTGCTCTCCCGTTGTTGTTGGCAAAATCCAAGCCTTCTGAAACCTTGTAAAATATTATTTTAAAAAAGAACAGAGCTGTATTTTCATATTAATATGTTGAACAAAATCTGTTATACTCGACAAAAGAATAAATTTATTTATTTACTTTTAATATGGTTTACTTACCTTTCCTCTACAAACAGCAAAGAACACTGCTCCATGCGTTGAGTCTTGTACTTTAGTGTAGAAACCATTTATAGTCTATGAAATTAAAAAATACAATAAATAAAATGACTGACAATTTATGACAAAGGCAGCTTACAGAAAAAAATATGTCATTGAGATACATCAATTTATTTTATTTTTTTCTCATTGTGATACCTACTTTGCTGATTGGATAACTGCCTCATTTAAATAATTATATTAATTAGGATTTCTGGTAACTTGTACTGTATAATTAGAGTTTGTCTCTTTGTATTATGTATTATCCCAGATGATGCTTAAATAAAAGCAAAACGGAGGATAAAATAGCCTTGTAAATTTTGGAGTGACATTCATAGTATATCATTTTATATATCCAATATTTGCTTACTTTATACAGTAATTGTAAATGAATTAAAATAATAAATGAGGATAAAATTGAGGATTACAGCGATGATGATGATAGTGATGATGATGATAATCATGATGAACATGATCATGATGAAGATGAAAAATGACGATAATAATCATAATGATGATAACAACGATGATAGTGATATAGTATAATAATACGTTAGAATTTGTAGGAAAATCAGTGTACGACTTCATGTCAAGGTTTTTAAGCCTCAGAAAACACTCTTGTTTAATAATAATAATATGTTAAGACTTACATAGCGCTTAATGTCAACAAGGCCTCTAAGTGCTTCACATTATTACCCCCGGTCATTGTGAACAGATGAGAATAGCTGGTAGTGGTTTACCAGCCTGCTCAGACGCAAAGAGACCCCAAAGCCAGGCACTCACTTTGAGCACTCTGATCTTCATGAAATAGCACTATACAAATGATGTTATGTATGTATGTATGTATATCAAGCACATATGCAACACATACTCTCTGGGGAGAATTCCATAACTTTGCAGCTGTAATCAGCACATTTTGTGTATGAACATACCAGGTACCCACTTGTACTCCTGGATGGAGAAAGAAAAACCGTAAAGTGCCTCGCCAAAGAGGGCACAAGCGAAATGCACAGCGAGGGATTCAACCTCCAACCTCAAGGCTGAGTAGCAGAATCGCAATCGCTGCGCAAAAACCGCTCAGTTATGATGATGTTTACTATCACTGACAAAATCAAATATTCCAGAATTTTACCTCTACAAAGTCTGTTTTTCCCTTGGGCTCAATAAACAATTGCTTGTGCTGTTCCATCCTAGATACGACACCATTCTCTTGCCACTTCTCATAGCAATTAGTCATTACAGGGTAAGATGGGAAAAATACAAGTAGGCCATGTGGAACGACTCTACAAAAGTTCACTGCAAAAAACAAACTTGATGATTTTAAAACAAATTTTATTAGAATTTGAATGTACTGTAAGTAATAAAAATTAATATCATACTAACAATGATAATACTAAATTATGGTAAAATATGATAACACAGTCATCATCAGTGAACTGAAAGTACTAAAAACTAAAACTAACAATCGTAATGAATTTATACCGGAAGAAATTTCATACCAATTGTGTTGCCTAGCGACATGATATAGGACATGTCAAACCTAGTCCTATAGGATGAGTTTAGTTCCTTTCCGTCAACTCCTTTAGTAACCACGGCAACCTTCATCTGATGCCTTTCAATGACATGTGGATTTTCCAGTTGAATCGGGAAATCTCTAGAATAAATAAAAAATAACAAATATGACCTCAAGCTAATCTAAATCTTGTAATTTATTTAGTCAATTTTTTTAATTAAATTCTTAATCACATAGATCACATTTTTACCTCTGACCTTAGTATTATTTTTTCAAAAACGTCTAGAATATTAGTACTATAATGAAAAATGACATCTCTCAATCTTTTAGTTTATTTAGTAATCAATTTTTATATTAAAATTTTGATCAGATGGAATATATGTTGACCTCTGACCTACTTACATTTGCATTTCTGACTTAAAAGAGTCTAGTGGTGACAGAGTACCACTTGTGAGTATGATGGAACGCACTCCCTGGGCTACTAGCTCCTTCATGCTGTACCCAGGGCTGAAGCACCAATAGCTACATATAAATCCTACAATGAAATTGAGAAAGGTTTCACACAGTAGCATATCTCTGAATCTAGAAATGGGAGGGGGAGGGGCTGAGAAGACGGGCTGTGGCGGAGGGGCGAAGGTGAAGTGGGTGGGGGATAAATGATTAAGTGAGGGGGAACTGGCACTGAGTCCCAAAATAAGGTGAGTTTTAACTATTTGAGCATGATTTTTTGCTTTGTACATTTTCAATGGGTGTTTGTGGGAGGGGGGTGTGTGTGACTGGGGAAAGCAAGCTGTTTTGGGAGGTGTATGGGTTGCTGGGCCCTGGAGGATAATAATGCTTTTTGAACCGATGAGATCACCCAAGGTAAATAAATAAATAAATAAATAAATAAATATATTCAGTGGAGGATCCAGGTCTAGACCACATCAGCCTCATCATGGTTAAAGTTGAGGTAAGAAAATATATAATTATGGCACCCCTAGATGGCCAGTTTCTTTTTTTCCCCATTTCTTTTTTTTGACAGATTTGGGGGAGGGGGGGGCAAACCCCTCTTCCATCTGCCAATGATAGTGTTGCCAATGGAAAAAAATATATTATATATAAGTTATTATATAATTGTAAATGTTGCATACCTTTTTTCTGACCAGGAGTAGATCCATTGTTGCTTGCCCAAAAATCTACAGTTGATTTCTTCTGCTTCAGATCGGGATACCTAATGTGCACCTGTAACCAACATACCATACAATGAAAATGGCCATACTATTTACTGGAAGGTAGAAAAAATATACCTACACAGTAGAAGTTTCCTTATTAAAAGAAAATATTCAAAGGAACGACTGCAGCTGACAGGTTAAAATGGCCGTATTCGACTGGTCGTTCTTCGTTAAACCACGCCCACCTGCGCAGTGGTAAAATCCTACTTAACGAAGACAACCAGTTGAATAGAAAACTGGTAAATACTCGACAAAACAAAATGGCTGCATAGTTACATAAACTTAAAGCTGATTAATGCAATCTGGTTACGTTAATTTTCGTTGTCAACGAAGTCTATTTTACGAACCAGTCGAATGAAAATAATGCTCAGAAATTTGTACTCAACGAAATAAACCAGTCGAATAAGCCCTATGAAAAGGTAGAAAATGAAAGAAAAAAATAGAAAAATTAACTGCACTAAGGTGTAATTATGTGTTTTTTTGTTATTTTTTGAAAGTCAGCAGACAATACCCACTGTGATAGTCTGTTGTTAATATTGACTTTGGCTTACCAATGTCTAAAAACATTAAAAAGGAGGCTGCACTAGTAGAATGGACTCTTCCGCTTTGCCTCAGCACATGGATACTGTTGCTAAGAACCCACAAAGCAATAGCATAAATTGTATGTAAACCAGTGCGTTTGTGGCACAATATGTGTTTGTTGGACACGCCTATATTCCTGGAATTGTTTTGATTGTTCAGTTACCAAGTTTGATTGACACATGAATCAAAACATTCATTACACTCAAGTCACAACAAAGAAGCTGAAATAGCGTTGATGTGAATATCTTTATCAAGGTGCCAGCAGTATCTAAGTCACTGGCCTTCACCCGAGGACAATTGCTTCCTTTGCTAAGAATTGAAAATTACAACAATAAAATATTTCCTTGCCATTTCCTCGTTAACGAAACAGTTTTGTATTAATAACTAAATAAACAATAAAACAATTCTTTCCCATTAAATTAAAAACGAAATATTAAATTAAAATAAACAATTCTAAGAAACAATCAAAAGTGTAGTGATTCGCAGGGTATTTAATTATTTTCACTGTATTATGCATTGATCTTGTTAATTTCCAGTTTTTTTATCATTGTGTAATGTTTGTGCGTGTAATTGAATTTGGGGTTGGATCAACCGGCTTAACTACAGTAATTTGGTTCACTTTAGTTGACCATGGTCTCCCCAAATTTCAGGGGTTTTTTTTGTAAACTTTCTGTTATGTGCACAACGTTTGAATGATCGAATAAATAATGAAACGAAATGCAATGAAATACCTTATAACAAAGACCACCATCATTCATCATATTACTAGATGATTTCTGACTTGAAAAAACAATCTGTTAAATGAAAGTGAAATCAGTAATAATGATTATTAAGTCTTAAGAATTTCATGTCATTTTTGTAATTTTATCATTATTTACATTGAAAATGTTTTGATATACTCATGGCTCCTAATAAACTTCATCAACCACAATCAATTATTAATTCATCTTCATAATATAGCAAAAAGCTGCACGAAGCGTGCCAATGCGCGTATTACCAAGGACACTACTACTAGCACATTATTCTCACACGCGCAGCTAATGCACACGCGCAGATAATGCACACGCGCAGATAATGCACACGCGCAGATAATGTATTGCTGAGCAAATGGTCACTGCAACAAGCAGTTTGATTATATAAAATAGCTTAAATATATATAAAACAGGGTGACTGACTTATAAAGCAAGTTATTTCAGACCCTATAGAAAATAGAAGGCTTTAAGCTGCAATCGCAATGAATTTTAAAAAGGGAAGATTTTACCGAAACTGTGGGTAATATTCTAATGGGTACACCTTATCGCTGTCCGCAATTGGATTTTTTCAGTAGGTTAGTTTCCAGCGAGAAATGATAAACTAACCACGCCTTGAAATTCAATTATTGAGGGTGCAAATTCGTGATATCACTACTGAGTATCGCTCAAAGACACATGCTTTTACACGGCTAAACTAAGTGCTCGTCTCAGTGAGTTTTTCTGAGAGTTAAGTTTGCACTGAACTAATTATGGTAAAACTAACCATGCCTCAGTTAGTTTTACTGGAAAAAGTCCAGTGTTATTGCGACGTTAGGACCCGATATTTCTTTCATAAATTTTTCCAGTAAAATACATCTGCTTTCTATCTGGTCCTCAAAACTTGACTATAAATGTTTAATAATTTCATCTACAATAAACACACCATACTAAATCTGTAAAGGTTTATACTACAGTGTTTGGTTTTAGTTTATATATGAAGTAATTTCCATACTGATTTGATAGTTTCCGTTTATAATTTAAGTTACCTACATCACAAGCTTGTGAAACTAGACCAAAAGTTTCAAAAATGAACAAATATTTTCATGAATAAGTTGATTATCTACCTACTGTAAATGCATATCTTCAAAACTGTTTTAATTTTTTTTTTTAAATGCATAGGATACATACGCTGTACTTGTTTAACACATCATGAGGTTGAGCCTAAGGAGTGGGCTTTATTGTTGTTTAAGATTCAAAATCAATAAATGAAATAATAGTGTATACAAAGTTACAGTTTCAAAATTGAATATGACCAATTTACTTACATTTAGAATATCATTGAACTTGGAAAGTGCAGCAATTTTGTTTTGAAATGCGGTTTGATCTAAAATATTAACAAAAGCGAAATTAAATATACAGTACAGCAAATTAACCTTCATCTTTTATAATCTTAAAAAATCACTTTCAATATTAATAATACCGTGGTTTCCCTCCAATTACAAAACCATTTTTGGGACCAGAGCTTTCATGGTCTTTAGCAGCTTTGTAGTCGCTAATAATAAAGAACAAATAAGATATTCTTAATTTGGGACCACAGAAAAGTAGTCTTTATTGCAGGAGTCTTCAATTAGAAGGAGAACTGTACTGTACTTGTAAAGTGCATCCCTGTATAATAGCATGGCTGGAAAAAGTGTGCGACTGCTTGACCACCAGTGGTTGGAGGCATATAATGAATGTCCCGGAGGTATTTTCAGGGAAAACATTTTTTTTTTAAATAAACCGTTGGGTTATATAATTTAAAGATAAAAATTAAGTGCTGGAGGAATTTTATTGAGACATATTTTTTTCCCAGCCCTGTGTACTAATCTATCTATTATATTAATTGAATGGTATGGCATTGCACTAATGAGATGATCAATATAATTTTTCAAAAGATGGCTTATAATAATAATAATAATAATAATAATAATGTTACTAAAACCTACCTTAAAATAATAATAATAATATAATAATAATAATAATAATGATATTAATAATAATAATAATAATAACTTTAATAACAATAATAATGTTACTAAAACCTACATTAAAATAATAATAATAATAATTAATAATAATAATAATAATAATTGTGCAGGTTTATGTTAATACTCACTACTTGTTAAATTAGTAACTATCTTTTCAATCAACTCAATCAGCTCATCTTTTGTGTCCATGGTAACATGTACTTCATTCAACACTTCCAATATATACCTATAAAATATTATAAATATAAACATTTTTTCACTTCATACTTCTCTTCTTCGTTATCAGCATAATACAAATACCGTGCACCCTCCAATTCGAAACCCCTCTAATTTGAGCCATATTTTCAAAGAACAATTTTTAACCTATTAACAACATTAACATAATTAGTCAGGTGCAACTTACCAAGAGCAGATAGTTAAACCAGGTGAATTGTGCTCAGTAAAACTTACCAAGTCAAATGCAAAAATGTGTCTCGGTCAAACTTCCCGAGTCACTCTAGCGTTACTAAATGTCATAGATTAGTGCCCTTGATAGTTTTCACGCTTCAGTTATTTTTAACATTTCCAACAGCAAAACTAACCGACTCAAAAAATCCAAGTCAGGAGTGTGGTAACATCTACCCATTGGAATGTTAATCCACAGTCTTTGTAAAATCTTTTTTAATTTTAGTGTGATTGTGGCAAAAGATTAACAATTTAACATTAATATTATTTTGCAACTAAAGATAAAGATGATGGATGAATAGTATATGCAGTTACACCAGCATACTTAAATTACATCATGGCTTACCTGCCTGGCTTGGTCACCCCTTTCTCCCCACCTGAATCACATATCTTCTGTAGTGTTAACTCCAGGTTAATAAAAAGAGCTGAAAATGATAGTTGAAAAGACAATAAAATAAGATAACCAAACAAAGGGTGATTTCAAAATAAAAACATTATTTGATGAATATCTTCCTTTAAAAACAGTGGGACGACATGTTCAAACCATCCTAATAAATAATCAGCACTTTATGTTAATTTTTAAATATTTTTTGGAAAATTTGCAAAGTTTGTAAATTCATATGTATATTTTCATTTTATGCTACAACATATTTATATAGTTATATTTATTACAACTTCACAGGCAGATAGAACACCTTTTGGTGATATAATAATTCCTATGATTTAGAGATGGTAAAATCTGTTGATACAAAAAATATTCTATACTGAAATGTATATTTCGTCAGAAATAAATATAAAAGTGAAAATAAAACTGTTCTACATACCCTTTAAAACTGCTAAAGCTGTAGTGTCAAAGTCTTCGGCTGAAAATTAAATTCAATTTTAATAAAAACTAAATGAATATGAGTCAGATTACAATGGACTTTTCCGATAAACCCCGCAGTTGAATATTGTGTTTAAGGTCCCACAAAACAATAGCGTAAATATATGTAAACATGTGCGTTTGTGCCACTTCATGTGTTTGTAGAATACACGCATATATTCTTGGCCCTGTTATTATAGGTCAGTTGTTAAGTTTGATTAACCTAAATTAAAATTAAAATCAATGAGGTATAAAATATTAATAAAAATAAGGCCAAAAAAAAAAATTTGTGTTGTCCACGTTTTGGGAAAATCCAAAAAAATAAGTAGGTCGGTAGGAATACTTTTTTTTTCTAATACAGTAACCAAAAATGTGTTTACAACTAAAAAGTAGATAATACACAAATAATACAACAATTTTGGATTCGCATCGCATACCATCCAGCAAAATAGGCTAGGCCTTGGCCTTCTAAATTGGCAAGGTTATTCCAGCCTTATTTGCTCATAAAAAAATATTGTTCAGTCAAGATACAAAAAATAGCTAAAATATGGAAATATGGATGGTAAAATTTGTGTTGGTCGGGCATGGCCAACACAATCATTTTTTTTTTTGCCTAACAGTAAGATTAATTATTTTATAAAAAATCTCACCTGAATCACCTTCTGCATTGAATAGTTGTGGTGCATTCTGGGATCCCATCACCCTGTCTAAAAGTGCGCCGACCTCTTGAATACAGCTTGCTAGTTCCACAGAGGAGAAGTCAAATGATGCTGATTCCTCGCAAAGTTTTTCCTAAAAATAAATTTCGTTCAATAATTTATTATTTAATAGGTCTTTAAAGAGAGATTTTGCAAAGCACATAATACAAACAGGTCTACTGTATGCGCTGGATAAAACCACAGACCAGGTGTACAAACAAGGAAGAATACAAAACCAAAAGAAAAGAAATAACGTTTAGATTTTAAATGAAGAAAAAAGATAGGATTTGAGCAAAGACTTAAAGACAGTCAGCGAAGGAGAGACACACACAGGCACAGGTAGTTATGGTAAAAAAAATAATTTAGAGTTTACATTAAACGAAGTTCAAAATTTTTAAGCTGACCCAAAGAGGTTTATATAATAATATCTGCCACACCAAAGTACATCTGTGGGTTTTTCATTCACTGAGATTTGACTATACTCTGATTAATTCCTAGAACTTTATACAATTGTTGAAGGCTTCTGTGATAGCACTTAATCCAAAAAGGCATTTATTTAGGAGCGGCACATATTACAAAAGTGTTAAATGATACTCCATTGCACAAGTGTCTATCATAGAGTACTTCTTGCAATATTAGCATTTCATAACCTGCAAAGATTTGGTTGTTTACTAGAAGTATCCTGATAATACGAAACATCACAGCACGTTGGTAATGTACTCTCAATTAACCACAACAACATTTTATTAAAACCTAATTTTAAGTGGATAATAGGTTACATCTTAGGGTAGTTTATGGTAGCCAAATGTATTAACAGTTGGATATCTGGAATATAATAATTTAAAGTGACAATTATAAGAATGATAATTAAAATACAGGTTCTCCATGTTCTTAAGGACCCCTCCAATTGAATTCCACCTATCTGTGGCCCTAAATGAACATTCTTTTATCTTCATAATAATTATTGTTCTAATAAAAGACTAAAATAGGGAGACCTCTATAATAAATAATATTAGAATATTAATCTAATAGTAGAAGTATTCCTACAATTCATAACATTTTAAGGCCCTGTCCTGAGACTATCAAATTTTATTTGACAAAAACATGTGACATGCCTATACTGTATATGGTCATGATGACATCACATCTTGACCATGTATAGGCACATCATGACTATATATGGGCATACAAAATTTGATTGTCTAGACAGAAAGAAATCTTACAACATTATGAGCTTCATCAAATATCACCACATTGTTATTTAGATCTATTCCATGGGCTCTCCTCGACTGCAAAAAAAAAAAAAACCAAGAATGATGCAGAGTATTAAGGTTAATGAACTAACATTATTTCCTTGTTATTTCTTTTTAATCTACTTGAGCGGATATGAAACACAATAAACAAGTGGGAATAACAAGTGTTTAACACTTCCTCAAAGGTAGGCTCTTGATATGTTGAAGGAACTGATTTTTTAAACCACAAAAAGGGTGTTTGACAAAAAAAAACTCGAGAATAGTTAATAAGATACAGATTTTTTTAATATTTCAAAACAGGGGGAAAAGGTAGAAAAAAAAAAAGGTGGTTACGCCCCTTTTCCCCCAGTTTTTCATTATCCAAAAATCTGTATCTCATAAATTAATCTTGTGTTTTTCATCAAACACCGCTTTTGTGTACAAGTAAAATAAGTTATACAGCAATTTCAAAATTGTTTTCCAACCGGAGCCTAGCTTTAAAAATGCTAACAGCAGCTAACAGCTGAGTCATATTCTAGAATGAAACTTCTTTGGTGTGACAGCTAACCTTGTAACAACTTGTGGCTGGACAAATGAACAGAAAATCTACACACATATGATTATTATTAATTTTAACCGTTCTGCAGGATATATAATATTTGGTGGTCACTGACGATAAAATTGATTACGTTGACACTCCAGCAAACAAGACAGTAAGACTAATTATGATAAACAGTATTATTTAGTCCCATAATAATATGGAGAAATAAGTAAATAAATAAGAATCAGGGTACTTTTCTATAAATTTGACAGTATATAATTGTTAATATTGTTATATCACAATTCATCAGTGTTTTATTTTAATTTTTATTTTAATAAACACACGCTTACCTTTGGATCCAGCAAGTAGTTATATGGCATAAATATGATATCAGCCGATGTGTGGAATTCCTTTGCAATGTAATACGGGCATGTCCTGATATTAAATGGTTGCAAACATTATTTAAGGACTACATTATTACATTTCTTAGAATATGTCTGTCTTTGTAGCCCACTGTATATACTCGCATATAAGGCGACCCGCGTATAAGACGACCGCCGAGTTTCAGAAGATTTTTTAATGATTCTTGTATGTCAGGCGTATGAAACGACCCCCGTCCCCTGTTCATTATTGAAATTCCTACTCTTTCTGCTTTATTATGGTCTTGATACTGCATTTAACTGGCTAAAACGGTGTCAAATGCAATGCTAATCTTCCAAATAATACCATTTTATGAGTTTTAAAATGTTCATAAAAATCTGACTTCCCCGTATTTAAAACTGTGTTCATTCATACTAACATTTAGTGGTTTTATTGCAGTAGAAAATTCATGTATTATTGACGATCCGCACATACAACAAACATGGTTTTAAAAATCTAAAATAATTGTATTTTGTGCGACCCCCTGTTTTTCAATCATTATTTGCTATTTCTATTTCAAGCGTTGCCTTTTATAAACGAGTATATTAATGTGCAATGACATTTAAAAGGCATATATGAATAGAAAAAGTAAATGGGTTATCTTCAAAACATTATAGTAAAATACAAATCATAAAAATAATAATGTCATAAAATATTGTTTGAAGGTTTGCATGCGAAGTAATAATATAATAATGCTTGTGGTAAACCACATAGATAGTTCTGAAAAGAACTGTTTTTGTTAGTTGGGAATATCGACGTTTCAATTAAGTTGCTCGTCTTCAGGAGAAAAATATCTACAGAAATCCCAAAACTGTGAAATACTTATATGGACCAAACATATAAACATGGAAGCAACTCAATCAAAATGTTAAGATATTTTCAACCAACAACAACATTTCTTTTCAGAACTATCTACGTGGTGTACCGCAAGCATCAATATAATAATATACTAAATTATTTTATCAAAATAACGGGAATTGAAAACCCTCTATACAGATAACAATATTAGTAATAACAATGGTAGTGGTTATAGTAGTAATAAATATAATAAAGCTAATAATAAAATCAATAACAATAATAAATAATTTTAATAATAATAATAATAATAATAATAATAATAATAACAACAGAAGCAGCAACAGCAGCAAATATAAATAATAGTAATAATATTAACAACAATACAGCAACAACAAAATAGCTGACTTGTGCTTATGGCCAAATTTCACAAGGTCTTCAATATCCAGAATAGAATCATTAAAATCTTTCTCAGTTTTCTTATCTGCAAATTAAAAAAAAAAACAAAACAAAATCTATTATTAACCTTAGAGAATTTACCTCAAAAAATTGCATATCAACAGAGAAAATTACAAAAAAAATAGTTTCTCTGATGACTAGAAGAACAATATTCTAGCTGTGGAACAGAAAATTGTCTAACAACTCGAAGTGAAATGCAGAAGCCTTAGTATCGGTACACAATAAAATAACAATAAATCTACCAAAAGTGCAACCATGTGCATGTTGATAGAATCATGTATTTTTTTTTAGAAGTGAAAGCTAAGACTTGAATGATGTATTATACAGTAGTTTGACCTCTTGTCTACTATTAAAACACATTCTTGATCAACCACCATTTGAAGGTGGTTAACTAGTATCCTCATAAATTTTTTTTCCCGCAATAGGCCATTTCCCAGTTTCTTACGTGCATGACCATGTCAAAGGTCAAGGCATAGAGACAAAGAATTATACTATTGTCCACATTGATATGAAGTTAATACAGTCGATATTGATGGTATATAGCCAAATATTGCACCAATTTTTACAAATATTTGTTATTCTTAAAACTAAGAAAATGCAGGTAGTATAACATACACTGTCTGAAATTTGACTTGCGCACTTGAAACTACAGTAAGGTGGTATATTTATGTGTGGAAGAACTCATTTTGCAGAATTTTGAATGTTTATAGCCACTATTACCGTAAATCCTTGGATAAGCTAGCTTATTAAAGAGCGGCGATTATTCAAAAGCAGTGCTTATTAAAAAAATATTGGCATATGGTTCTTTCTATCTAACATATCCCCGTAGTTTGATAGGCCTATAAAAGACTCTACATCATCATCATCAACACCTACATTGTGTTATTTATTCATCTGAACACTGCATACATTGTATTTAAAACCCTGTTTCTCAAAGTGTAACATAAAAATATGTACTCTCAATTAAGAACCATGGCACATATTCAAAATAGAATATCTCGAATAAGCGCAAAAAAAAAAAACATGTTTGGTGCAGTACTAATTAGAGAGCGGCGCTTATTCGAAAGCGGCGCTTGTTCAAGGATTTATGGTGTTACCATCAAACATTCTTTGATCCTCCAGTATTAATTATTTTCTTTGTCTCTGAAAAAATTTAAATGCAAACTCTGCTACGAAATACCATCAGACTATAAGCTCACTTTCAACGTTGTTGTAGTAATAACACGTCCTCGCAGATACCTTGGCGCGGCACATGTGAACTTTGGCCATGTTGTTCTCCTGTTTCATCACCTGTGGGTGGATGCACATCTGTTCCCGAGAACCAAGGACGCATACTTTCGGCCTGAAAGAAATGTAGATAATATAGATGCAAAAAGATGTTTGACTAATCAATCAATCAATGTATCTTTTACAACAAGGAAATTAAGGAGAGACTTTTAATTTCTTGTTTTGCAAAATTATATTTTTAAGGATCGTCAGAGGCAGGCAGAAAAAAAAATAAATAAAATTTTGTTTTCAGCTTTTTGCAGCAGAGGGTGCGCTAGTTCGCCAAAAAGAAAATTTTATTTTTATGTCGAAACTATAAAAAATTTCTCACCTAAGCACCACCATCTCACCTGTATGAAGTTTGTTTCAATTCTTGCACCACCTGGGATAGTTGAGAATGTGTCCTGGATGCATAGATAATCTTTGGATAACTTGCAAATACCCCTATCATTTTTATGATATAAACAATAGTTAATTTGTAATACTATATTCATCTATTTTCTTCTCAATCACTTGAATATAAACATCTTCTTACATGACACTCACTGTGTAGTATATTTTATTGCGCGGATGTTATCCCAAAAAAAAAAATGCAAATTTGTGTGAAAAATCGCAAAAAAAAATAAGTGTGCAGAATCATAACTACTGCTTTTATATATTGTATTATTGAGAAATAGGCCAAGGCCTAATTTTCTGCGAAATTGGATGGAAATCGACCATTATTAGGAGAATGCAGACATATAAAAAATCCTAGTAAACTGCAAACAAGCCTCGATTCCCTTCAAAAATTGAGCGAGGATAGCTTGTTAAAACTGAACCCTTAAAAATGTAAGGTATTAAATGTACATTTTGGCCAGCAGGCTGTTTCCAACCCTCAATACATGATAGGCAACCACCAACTAGAAGTTGTTAGTAGTACCAAGCTCTTAGGTATTACATTTCAATCTGATCTCAAATAGGATGCACATGTGAGTGATCTATGTAACAGAGCCAGTAAAAAAAATTTCATGATTAGAAAACTTAAAAAAGCTGGACTAAATAAATTTGAACTAACTTGTGTTTATAAGAATTATCTAAGACCAATACTCGAATATGCAACCCCAGTATGGAATGCTGGTTTAAGTATACACCAAGAAAACGAAATTGAAAGAATCCAAAAAAGAGTAGTTAAATGTATTTTAGGAAATAGTTATGAAGCATACAGTAATGCTCTCAGTATACTTGGTATCATCTCTATTAAGGAACGGAGAGAAAATCTATGTAGAAACTATTCCCATAAGTGTACAAAAACACAGAATTCAGAACAAAATGGTTCCAAGAGAACAGTAATAGCTCTACCATGAAGCTTAGAAAAAAAGCGAATCTTGAACTACTTTAACTGTTCAACTAGTAGGTACTACGCAAGTCCTCTTCCCTATATGACCCTATATATGATTGTCTTCAGGAGAATAATATCAGATATATTCTCCTGAAGACGGTTGAAGCAAGTCAACCGAAACGTCGAGATATTCTCAACCAACAACAACAGGTCTTTTCAGAACTATCTACGTGGTGTACCGCAAGCATTAATTATATATTATACTTCGCCATGCAAACCTTCAAACAAAATAATTAATTGGTTTTTTATTTCTTTTTAAATTTTCTATTCAAGTAGATTAAATTACTGATTGATTGATTAAATAAATAATGATCTTCCAGTTCACCATAATATATATTTATTAGTTAAAAATTGTAATGTGTTGGTCCAAGCTATGGTGATCAATATCTAACTGCCCTTGTTTATATTGTTTATATTTTTCATAATGTTCATAATTTCAAAGTCTCAATCTTTTTTGTTCTGTTTTGTGTGTGTGTGTTTTTTTTTTTTGTATGTCTGAAATAATCTGAATTAATGAAATGTATTTTAAAATTTTGAAGTGTTTTCCTTTTTCATCTTGAACTTTTTATTGAACAGTTTAATATTTTTATGTTTCCATAAGTGCAATAGATTTTCTTCAATATTTGTAATATGTATTGTAGTTTAATAATTTAATGTTTTCGTAAGTGCAATTGATGTTTTATAATATTTGTATTCTTTGTTCTTTGTATTAATAATATTTACAATAATGTAGTAATAATGTAATTTTTTTTAATTGTATACTTGTTCTTTGTATTAATAATATTTACAATAATGTACTTATAATGTAATTTTTTTTAATTGTATACTTGCTTAGTTTCTACTTTTGTAATTATCATCTCAATACATTTTACTATGCCATGGTGATTTAATAAAATATACCAGAATATTATTTTTCAAAATGAACAGACGGAATTCTGGGCTTAATTTTGGTGTCGGGGTATATTCCCTGCGCCAGCCTTATTTTACAGTCTGGGCATGACTATGCAGGAACCATGAGTTCTAAAAACATGTATAAGTATAATTTACTGGAAGTAAGGAAAATCAAACGAAGATACAATCAATATCAGACAAGACTGTTTTACAACTTTTTATGCGAAACTATCATTTAAAAGATAACTTTTGTAAAAAAAAAAATAACATTATATACGGTATTTGACTTGTTAGCGAGAAAAAATTTCATTCAGTGGGTGTGCTAAAAAGCCAAAAAAATTGTAATATTATTCAAAAACATTATTGGCATGCGGTGAGGTTCGCAAATATAGCCGAGTCTCACCTAATTTAAGAAATGTAAAAAAACATGAATAATAAAATGAGATTCAAACCCCAGAAATCACGGTCGATACCCCGAAGGAAAGCCAATATGCACACAGCTCCTACTTTCTATTGCAAAAATCTGATTATATTAGCCACAAGACGGTCAGTTCTAGTTACATACCTCCGGCCGATCCTTGCCATGTCCCAGCCGCCTCTTTCAGTTCCGCGGATATTGTGTTTGCAAACTCATTGCCTGGCCTACTGTCACCGACACATTTCTCCAACTCATGGTTTGCTACGTAAGATTGTCTCCACGCCAGACAAGCGCACAGAAGGCATAAGGTTTTGCCCGTACCTGTTGGACTTTCGAGTATAGCGTTGCTTTTCTAATTAAATATATTAAAAGAATAAAGATATTAAAAAAGAATTAAAAAACAACATATGATTTAATATGATGATGACAATGAATCTGGTAATGATACTGATTGATTGATATAGGAATGATAATAATGATTTAAATAACAACTATTAATGATGATAAATGATAATTATCATAATTATGAGGATGATGACTGTTGATAAAGTATGGGTGGTTGTGACGGTGATGACAATAATAATAATGTTGATAAAGATGATGATGATAAAATAAATAAAATCGTACTTATAATTATATTATTATATGTATAATCAAATAAATCTAATTATTATGTATATAAGTCTTTTTAATTAATAACAATTTATATTGTATTAATCTTCATATACTGTAAAAATTCAAAATAAAATCATACTTTAAGGTAAAATAATTGTATTTTTCTATGTATAATCAAATTAATTACTACAGTAATATTTAAACATAGCATAAATTCATTTAGATATTGTAAAAAATCCAAAAATATTTTATTTTGTTATTTATAATTGATAGATTCACATTTATTTCATGGACCATTTGTTAGAACATAATTTTTATGAAAATGTTATCCATGTAAAATATGTTTGTAAATAAATAAAGAAATAAATAAATGATAATACTGTATGATGGATGATAATAATTTTCATGATAAGAATGCTGTTATAAAGGAGACAAATTTTTGAGGATATTAGATAAATCCCCCACCATTCTTCTCCAACCCCCTCCCCTACCACT